CATATATATATATAACATTCGGTAGAATTTATAGAATATTGTAAAAATTATGGTCTATTACCAACATATATATATATATATATATATATATATATATATATATATATATATATATATATATATATATATATGAAATACGAGATATATTATTTATCTCGTATTTCACACATTTTTTTCGTGGTGTAATAATATATATATATATTCCCGCATTGTTTAATTTGTACTGACACTCATTCTCCAAAAGAGGGTGTATTTTCTTGCGTGTTCAGTTTATAATTATATTGTGACAGTGTTATCCACTTATTTGGGGGGTATTCTCGTATTTCATACATTTTTTTCTTTATATATAAACCTTTATTTATGTGTGTGTGTGTGTGTGTATTTATCTAAGTGTGTGTGTATTTCTTCATTTATTTATGTATTTGTATTTATTTATTTATCTTTGTTTGTTTATAAGTTTGTTGCATCACATTTGTATCTCCTCTATGGTGTGTGCCAAAAGTTTCATTCCTTCATACGATAGTAACCATTACGCATATGTAATATTGATTCCACTCTACGTAGATGGCCAACTGGCTGTTTATTTAATGTTAATGTTAACCAAATACGTGCTATTTGTGTTGTAGAATGTGTTAAATATTCTCACCCTTATTTAGTATTATCATTTTATGTAGCATATTGTTATATACAATATGTTACTATATATTTAATATGTCATTTTTGAACTCATTTGCTGGTGCTTTGCTAAATGTTTCGTCAGTATTATTTATCTATTTATAAAAAAAAAACATGACTTTCACTTGCGCTTTCAGTATTTCGGACCTTAAGTATAATGAACCAAAACTCTTAAAATTACTCCATCGTCATTATTTGTAAAATTAATGGATTAAGTAAATAATTAATTAGCAAAGTGAAAGTTTTCCAAATCACGTTAATTAGCTGTTTGGTTAGGCTTAACAGTTTTATATCTCATTTCCTCTCATTGTTTTCTCTATTAGGTTCTGGCGAGGGCAACGCCAATGTTTTTGAGAAAGGAATTCAAAAGGCAGCTTCATAGACATTATGTTCAGGTGTTGCTTATGCCTCGTTCGCCTGGTTTCAACAGAATTTGTCGCCGAACTCATTATTTTCTAAGTGCTGGCACTCACTTCTTGTTCATCAGCGTATAACTTCCAAAATAAGGGAAAGTAAGTGCCTTTTCTGGAGGCTTAATTTACATCTTCTGTGTAGCGCTTTATCGTCGTCATCATTCTTTTCCTCAACATTAATAAAAAATGTTTTCATCTGCATATTACAACTTAATTTAGTGTTTTTCTGTCAATATAGCTGAGAGTGCGTGTAAACAAATAAATTTCAACAAAAGAAATGATGTATATATATACACAAAACATTGAACATCAAAGCTGCAAAACAATATTTCCGTGCTGTTAACGATCGACCAACCACTTCATGCTTGAAAACTTTGACGGGGAGGGACAGAACTGACGAAATTTTCAAACTTTCAAATCTGGTAAAAACTAAACAAATTTGTGCTAATGTAGCCAATTGGTTAAAATTAGGCTGGCGAATATTTTTTCCTGATTACGTCAATTTTTGGTCGACTTTAAAAAATTACATTTATTTAAAGTTAATCTTTGATACGTTTTACGTTCAAATTACCTAAATAATAAATACATGTTTTTCTGTAAATCGTAAAGGAAATAACGTTTTAAATGCGAATACGAACAAACAACAGAAATACAAAAATATACACAAACAAATAAAATACAAAATAAATACAAAACATATACACAAACATCTAAAATACCAAAAAAACAACATATACACAATTATATGAAATACAAATTCATAAGCAAATACAAAACAAATGCAAAACATAAACATACAATACAAAGCATTCGAAATGAAATCATAAACCGATACTTAAACGTAGACAACACGATACAACAGGACAATACAAAACATTTACCGCAACGTATATAAATGCCGTAAAAATTATCACTTGTTATTTTCATCAATATTTGCTAAACATGAAAATGCAAAACATATACACAAACATATAAAATAAAAAAAATCACACAACATATATAAAACCATATGAAATACAAATAACGTTTTAAATGCGAATACAAACAATATCAACAGAAAAACA